GTAGGTTCTAAACAGCTTCAACCAGAGGGAAATTCTTACCTCAGCCTTTAGAGAGAGAAACTTGTCTACAAAATGCCTACAATTAGACGCAGACACACAAGTGTGCAAAGAGTGCATGTGGCCTTCCTGCTCCCACGGACTCGGGACACTGGGATACAAGGATACGCAGCCTCAGTCTACACCACCCCGTTGTCTGACTACTGGGGAAGCCTGGATAAAAACCGAAAACCCAAACCCACTGCCATCCAGTTGGTTCCAAGTCATAGAGAACTGCCTTGCATTGAGTTTCTGAGGCTGTACGTCTTTAAGGGAGCAGACAGCGTCTTCTTTCTCCCTTAGAGCTACAGGTGAGCTTGAAATCCAATGCTTCCCTGACAGGATCCTCCGTAGAAAAGACAACATAATTGTCTTTGAAGTCATACTGGCCCTTGACCTCTGGAGCCAGGTCATGCCCTTATCCAACTCACACTCTATCTTGAATCACTCTTTTTGCGGGGAGGAAGGGGACTTTAACAAAGAAATTAATATTCTCTCATTTTAGCGGGATAATAGTTTGAGTTCAGGGTGCCAGCCCTGTGGGAAGGCCGTTGCCTCTTTGAGCTCCTGTGGCAATCTCTGTGTGAAGTCACATCTTTTTTCTAACAAGAGTTAAAGGAGAGGGATGTGATTATCACCGTAAAAGATGAGCCAAGAATGGAGCCTATCCTTTGGACTCAAGGTCCCTGTGCTGAGAACCTCCTAGACTCAGAGATTAGTGCTTAAAGATGTTGAAAGGAGACAAGGACCTTTCCCCAGGAACCAACAGAGAGATAAAGTCTTCCCCCAGAGTCACCAAGGCCCTGCATTCAGACACCTAGCTTTCTAAACTGTGAGAGAACACAGTTATGTTTATCAAAGCCACCCACTTGCATGTTTCTATTACAGCAACACCAACCAACCAAACAAGACCTCGTTAATCTATCAAAGAAGACCAACTTCTCCAAGAGGATTACGTGCACGTGCATTTAACAAAAAGAAGAAAGAAAGAAAAGAAAACCCACAGCCGTGGTTTCAATTCTGACTCACAGTGACCCCACGGGACAGTAGAACTGCCTTGGCGAGTTTCCATCTTTGTGCAAGCAGACCGTCACAGATTTCTCCCAAGAAGCAACTGGTGGCTTCAAACTGCAATCACTTGAGTTAACAGCAAAGCACTTGAACCACTGTGCCAACACACACACACACATGCACACGCATGCATGCACGGACTGTCCCTCCATATATGTTTTGTTACATACTATCAGGCCAGTTCTGGCTCATAGTGACTCTTGTAAACAGAACAACACTGCCCAGGCCTGCGCCGACCTCCCAATAGTTGCCCGTGAGCCCATTCTTCCAGCCAGCGTGTCAATCCACCTCCTTGAAGGCGTTCCTCCTTTACACTGACCCTCCACTTTACAAATCAATTGTCCTTTTCCAAGAACTGGTCTCCCCTGATAACTTATTCAGAATATGTGAGAGGAAATCTCAGCACCCTCGCTTCCAAGAAGCACTCTAACTGTACTTCCTCCAAGACAGATTTGGTCTTTCTCTGGACGCCCATGGGCCTTTCAGTACTCCTTGGCAGCACCAAAATTCAAATGCATCCATTCTTCTGCATCTTCCTTATTTAGTGTCCAGATCCACGGGTCATTAGCAGGCACCTCAAGTCCACATGAATAGGGGTTAGGAGTTACACCACATAGCAGCACATGAATAGGGGTTAGGAGTTACACCACATAGCAGCACATAGCCATCCAGGCAAGGTGTATAGATACATGCATGTCTTCTAGGCTAATCTAAGCTTGTGATAGAATGGACTCTCTTTGTTGGCTGTTGCCTAATCACAGTGTCCTTGTTTACATTAAAACAGGCTTGGCCTGATTTCTTCACAGTGGCAAAACCCCTCCAAGGTAGCATCAAAATCACTTCAGGGCTATTTGTCTTCAGCCAGGCAGAGTAAGATGACGGCCACAACAAGCCTGCTCACCGAATAGTGTCTTCTCATTAGCACAAGAGATGGCATTCATGGTGGGACTCTACACAAAACATTTCTCTCACCTATGCCACTATCTTTTAACCATCCCATTCTCCTTCCGAAAGACCTCTGAAGTACTGCACGGTGGCTCCAACACCGCAACTTGGAGTCAGAACAAGAAACCACGCCCACCTGCTCTCAAGTGGATTACGACTGTTGGACAGAGTACAACCTCCCACAGGGTTCCCCAGGCTGCCAGACTGCACATCTTTCTTCCGCAGAGCAGCTGGTGGGTTTGAGCCACTAACCCTTCAGCGTGGCAGCCAAGCGATTAGCCACTGTGCCCCAGGGCTCTTTTGAAATTCAGTGAAGTTCAGATCCAGGCACATTGTTTGATCCTGTTTCTGTATCAAGTGCAGAATGTTCCCTAAAGCCAGGATGTCTAGATTTCATCTCAACTATTTTGACGTGTGTTGGGCCAGGTTGGCTAGAGAAACAAATCCAGCGACCCTCATACATGTGTAAGGAAGAGCTTTATAGCAATGGGCTAATTATAGATCAAGAAAGGATGTAAGCCCAGTCGAACTCGAGTCCATAAGTCCAATACTAGTCCGTAAGTCCCTCTTCAGACTAACCCAACCCATATGCACTGATGCAGAATGCAGGAAGGTCCCAGGTCAGTCGATGGAAAGTTGCATGGATGTCTGGTTGGGAACATCACAGGGTTCCAGTGCTCTCTGGATATCCAGCTAGCAGGAGGTGACAGTAGAGAGTGAGAGAGGCCAACCTGCAGTGAGCTGTATGTATATCTCGGTCGCACTCCACGGGAGGTCATCAGGCTGCAACTTGATTGACAGGCTAAACTTCACCCATATCTTCTTACAGGTGCCAGGTTGGCACCAAAATAAACCAACCCCTATCACAACAAGTCATCGGGAGGAATCAATCCGTGGAGAAGGACTTCACGCTAGGTAAAGTAGAGGTTCAGCAAAATGAGGAAGACCCTCCGAGAGATGGCTTGACACAGAGATGGCAGCAGTGGACTCAAGCATAAGAGTGCTTGTGAGGGCGGTGCAGGACGGGCAGTGTCTTGTTTGACACTGGGCCACCATGACTTGGAACTGACACAAGGAAAGCAGATAGCAGCAAAGAGTGAAACTGCCCCGTGTGTGTGGCTGTGAGGGCTTAAAGAAAACCCGTATGCAGCATGCAGAACAGTCCAAGTCCTGTGCACTCAATCAGTGGTAGAACTGACATGAACACAAAAACATGGCTTAGTGGAGTGTTCATGTTACATCATTAGATTAGATCAATCTTGATTTAGGGAGCCCTGGAGGCACATGGGTTAAGTTCTTAGCTGCTCGGTGAAAGGTCAGAAGTTCAAATCTACCAGCCACTCTTTGGGAGAAAGATGCAGCAAGCTGAGTCTGTACCTATTTGGAACCTAGGAAACCTTACGGGACAATTGTACTCTGTGCTGAAGGGTTACCGAGCAGGAGTCAGCCCTCCCACAAGGGGAATGCTCACTTATACTCTCGCCAGTGCACTGACCCAACCATTCTCTGCTTCAAATACCAAATCAAACAGCACTGTCAATCGGGGCATTGGTTTTGTTTTTGTTTTTCCATCTTTTAAAAATTAATAGCTCTAACTCTGTATGTATTTGACATTTGTTTACAACCATTCTTACATTTCCCTCTCAAATAGTCTCAGTGAAGTAAAATAAAAGAAATTAACACCATATCTTTTTCAAAAATTTTAACTAGTCAGTGGGGTTGGGGGAGGCAGATTATGAAGGAGGTAGTTTTTCCTAAGATTTGGTCCTTTTATTTTTTTAAGAATAATCAAAGGATGGTGATTAGTAACCAAAACCCTTTGGTAATTTGGTAAATAACCCACAAAATAAACAGCCAGCAGGGGCTAAAACACACACACACCCTTCACATGTTGTTCCAATATCTGTTTTCTGCTCTTCATTTTCATGAAGACTCTTCGTTCCTGTCTGCTCCGTAAACAAACTCCCATATGCCATGTTCATGCCAAGACCACGCCTTTCTCTGGATTCCTGTTGTCAAAGCACAGCGGGCTTGTAGGGGATCGCCATGTCCAGAGTCTCTCTTAGGCAAGCGTGTGTTCTCCACCTCCTCTCCCTGGCCTGAACACACGACGACGCTGGGAGAATCATTTGCATGCCACCAACATCCTTGCTATTGTAAAGGTTATCCTCACAGATTCCAACTTCCAAATGTGAGTTGACAGCACGCATTTTGATGCCCCCGCTTTCCTTTCCCTATTTTGAAAATTTCTCACTCAGTTATATTTATGAAATTTATCATACTGCTGTGGGATGCCCATGTGGATAACGGCTTATTTCAATAATCACTGTAACACATACCTTAAGTTTTCGTGTTTTGAGAGCTAACTACCAAGACATTTTATCGGTGCTGTAGAATTGAAACAGGCAATACATTTAGCTCTTAAGGAAGGAAAATGCCAGAGTAAATATAATCAGTGATAACACAGACCAGAACAAGAGTAGAAATGTAACGGTACCGAGAACACAGACACTAGAAACATGAAGAGTCAATGTACTGACATACTCCATTGCAGTTGGTTAAGAGTTCGCTAATTGTTTCATTCCTCAAAGCAGGAAGAAGAACGAGACCAGTAAAAATCCCCATGGAAAACAATACCCAGGAATCTGATGGTTCTGTTTGGAAAGATAGTTTCGCTTTATGTGACTTTTCTCTTCTCCCCCCACCCCTGCCCCTCACCCCAGTGAACATGTGAACATCACTTAACTTTGATTGAAGAACTCATCTTCATCGTGTTTATATTCATCTTTCTTGTATTTTGCCGATCATAAGGACGCGTGTTCTATTGTGTATATGGAAGATTAATACATGTAAAACAAGACATATGAATTCAAGGTCATTCGACGGTGGCATTAGATGGGCTTCTGCAATCAAGGAGAAATAGAATTACCTTTTAATTGCATCAAGGAGCCCTGGATGCAAGTGGTTCAGCACTTTGCTGCTAACCCGAGGCCTGTGGTTCGAATCCACCAGCTGCTCCAGAGTGGAAAGAGGAGGCTGCCTGTGCCTGTCAAGATGACAGCCTTGGAAACCCACGAGAGCCGTTCTCTTCGGTCCTATACCGTCCGTGTGAGTCAGATTGCCCTAAGGGTGGTGGGTTGGGGCTTCTTTGTTTCTTGTTTGCAGGCTTCTCTTGTGCCTGTGCACGTCAGTGGCGTGTTCTTTTCACTCATGCTGTTGTGGGCTGCCATCAGTGCACTTTGACTCACAGCTCCCTGAGCTAGCTGACCCAGTAAGACCCAGTAAGAACTGTCCCATATGGTTTTCTGAGCCGTCGTCTCTACAGCTCAGTTTGCCAGGTCTTTCCACGGCAGGGATTCTAGGTGGGTTCGACTCACCACACTTTCATTCAACAGCCAGGGGCTCCACGGTTGCACCACTTGCTCAAAAACCTAGCCCCTTAGTTTGGAAGCAATTGGTTCATGGTGTTGTTAGGCACTCCACTAGGAGCCAGGGGTGCTGTCCATGGTGCTGAAACCCCTCTAGTGGTTCTCCCGGCTCTCAGGCATAAGTGCACTTTCACCCGGATTATGAAATGCAGACATTTTCACGCCTTAAAAGAAGTATTAGATCATATATGTTACCATCCTGATTAATATTCATCCAACACCTAATGTTCTGCTAATTCTTACGATTTTTATCATGAACAGTTCTAACACCTTTTAGGACATAGACACTGAGAAGTTAATTAATGTTCCAAACACCTCAAAGTTAGTCAAAAAGCCAAACCCACTGTCGCTGAGTGGATTCTGGCTCTGGGTGTGACCTTGTAACACAGCTTAGAACACACCTCCCTCCTGCAGAGGAGCGGCTGGTGGGCTCAAACCACTGACCTTTCACTTAGCAGGGAGTGCTTATCCTCTGCACCACCCAGGCTCCTCCTATAGCATCCTGAAAAGAAAAGAAAACAAAAAACAAACAAATGCTGTTCTAAGTGTGTTATGAACCTACAAAATTAGAACTCATCATAGCCAGAGTCCAGGACAGACCTAATTGCTTTTCACAGGAATTAAACTATAGATGACACTGTGATACGTTGAAATGGGTCATGACTTCTAAATATAATTGTATGTAAATGATCCACATAAACAGTACAGTATGAATTATTTGGAATGGGAATGGCAGGGCCTCAGAACGCATCTCACCTCTAAGTATCTATCGTCAGGTTGTGGGACCAGGGTGGGTGGTGGATGGAGTTTCTAGGGAATTGCCTCTCATGGCTTGTTCAAGAGGATCCTTGCATTCTGATTTCTGACCCCAAACAAACCAGACTCACTGCTATCAAGTCAATGCCAACTCAGAGTGACCCTACAGGACAGGGAGGGACTGCCCCATGGGTTTCTGAGACTGTAGCTCTTTACAGGAGCTGAACGCCCCATCTCTCTCCTGTGGATAGGCTGGTGGTTTTGAACTGCCCACCTGGCAGTTAGCAGCCTGACCTGCCACAGTGCCACTAGGGCTCCTCTTTGCTTCCTGATACAGTCCTTGGACTAAGTCACAGAAAACTCACTTTGTTCCTCCTTTGTTTTCCTCTTTCCTGCATTCCCACCCTGTCCCAGGGTGAAAAGAGACAACAGCTCATCTTTTGCTCTTGAACCGACTTTGGTGCAGAATGAAGAGAGGCCAGGAAGTCCTGACCGATCACTGATCACAGCGAGCTAGAGAGAACCTTGTTCCTCCCTCCGAGATTGAAGACGACAAAAAGTGGAAGACGGAAGGGCTGCAACCAATGGATTCGCTAAGTTTAGGAAACGTTTAAAATACAATTATGAGATGTCTTAGTTACCTATCTAGTGCTGCTATCACAGAAATGTCACAAGGGTGACCGAAGCGAACAGAAATGGATTCTCTTACAGGCTAGAAGGCGACATGTCCAGAGCCAGGGTCCTGGTTTTAGGAGAAGGCTCTCCACCCTCTTTCCTCTCTCAATTCCTTTCTCTCTCTCTCTCTCTCTCTCTCTCCCTACTCCTCTCCCCTCCCCCTCCCTCCCAAGGTCCTTTCTCTTTCCAGCTTCTGTCCCTTGCTGAGCTCCACATAGCATGCCATCTATCTCCCCACCTCTGCTTGCGTCTCTGAGGAGTGATAGGCACAGCCTACACTGATAAGGGCTCATCAACATAAAGAATCCCTGGATCCAAGTGGGATTCCATCCCTAAGTATTGGGGGTTACAATGGATAGCACGTGTCTTAGGGAGACAGAATTCAGTCCACCACAGGTGTCTACAAATACAACAGATGCACTTGGATGACGGTGCTGGTGGTCAACAGTGAAAGTGCCGTGGCTGCAACAAACGCGTCTGCCTGGGGGGAGGGACGGCCAGTGCCCTACTTGGAAGCGAAGATGGAGAGACTTCCTCGCACGCATAGACATGTTGTCAGGGCAGATGCGTCCCTGGAGAAGGACATCGTGCGTGGTGGGACAATGGTTAAGTGCTCACTCACTGCAAACCCAAGGTCACTGACTGTAACCCAGCCAATGGCCCCAGGCATGAGAGAGACCTGGTTATGTGAAAGCAGCAGCCTAGGGTCCCCGATGTGGCAGGTCCACAGGGTCACATGGGGCCATTGAGTCAGAGTCAGCCCGATGACACAGATTGGTTTATTAATCTTTATGGGATTAGATTACAGATCTTTCTTCCCAGGAGGCACTGGGGGGTTTGAATTGCTTCTCTTTCAGAGCTGAACCACAGCATCCCCCACCCCCACCCCGACTTTCCTAAGATCAGAATAAAAAAGATGGAGATGAATTTAAATGTCCTTTAGTTCTTCCCTGGCCCTCTTGTAGGCCAAAGGTCAAAGGTGATTTCCACTGTCAAATAATATGGTGAGTGGTTATTTCATAACTTCTCTATTTTGAATTTAATGCCTCCTCTCACACAGGATTCAGCACTCAGGGCAAATGGAGGACAAACTGATCAGACTTGAGGATGTCAATGTTGTTGGTGCTGGTGGTGGTGGTGGTGGAGGTGGAGGTGGAGGTGGTGGAGGTGG